TATAAACAGAAGATAATGGGGTGGGGAATGCCAGAAAGGCAACAAGAAACGATCAGTCGAAAAAAGCCACGGAAGTGTAAAGATTTACTTTAGCAGAGGGAATTAAATTTTTACAATATATTAATTGTCATTGATAATTTAACCCTTGACAATGCCAGTCTTACGCATCGATGATGATCAAACGAAAAATTCGCTGTCAGTCCACCGTCCAAACGAAAAGTCTACTGTCAGTCCCTAGGGACTGACGCCGCCTGAACGGAAAGTTCACTGTCAGTCCCTAGGGACTGACGTAGCACTCAACGTGTTAATTGTTACAAATAATAATGAAATATAATTAATAAGTTTATTTTAGTTTTGTTATATAATAAATATTTAATGTAAAGTTTATGTTCTAAGAACATTGGAGTATTACATTGACAACAAATTAAACTTGTAATGGTTTGTTCAATAAAATTTATTTTATGGGAAACAAACTTTTGATAAAACTCTTATGTTTACTTTACGAAACTTTGGTAAAATATACATTTCTTGATTCTTAAGCAGAATCTTAGAATAGTACATATTGAAGCTTCGTAAGGTTTACTTCGTACGGATTTTTTCCAACTTTCTATGCAAAATAACATCAGTTAAGAGTGATACAATAAAAACGCTCATTAAACAATAAAATATAGCGTAACCAGTCGTTACGTTAAATTTCCTGCTGTTACTTCGTACGTGTTAGCTGCCATCACTTGTGATATGTATCGCAAGTGGAACATTATATCATATCCTAAAAAAAACCGACTAAAAAATAGTATTACAAATAACAATGCTATCTATCTACGCGTTTATAATATATATATATAATATATAATATATATATATATATCTATAATACAATTTTATAAGGAAATATAAAAGACACCTGAAAAAGCACACCTGAAAAAGCAGGCTACTCTTTCATGTTCGTTGGAGAAAAATCTCACATCTTCTAATTTCTAAGAAGACACTTTATAATAGGCACAACATTTGTTACATTTTTATGCTGCCTGTCATTGTACAGAGGTGAAGATACAACAATATATCGTAACTTTACCATGGCGATGCTTCATAACCATTTTTTATTCGCTGTACATTCTTTAAGTATCGTGTATAGTCGCGGCTAGTAATAATTTGACTTTCGGAAAACATTATATTATTTTTTTCTTTTTTCTTTCTTTAGTTTGAACATCCTAAATATGTACATTCATTACATAATATATCATTGAGATAAAAAATAGGGAAAGGAAATACTGTTTATCGAGGCGAGTTTATCTGTACATCTCGAAAACAACTTGTAATACAGAGTAGAAAAACAGTTTGAACGACGAGCGAATGTATACGACATTTGGTTGCGAAACGTCGCGTAGCTGGAATCACCAAGCTCGGTCGACAACATGTTGATATACTATAATTAATCATCATAAAATTAAATAACAAGTCTTTGTATCGCCGTAATTCAACGAGAGTTATTTCCTCATGAAAGACCGCACCTTGTTTACACATTTATCCATAAAGTTTTTCTTTCGTTTCGGTTCAACCCCTGTTGGAAGCGAGAGCAGTGAGCCCTGCTCCCGTGATCTGGACTTGTATTCGTTTGATGAAATACTTTCGTCGGAATCTAAACCCGCACCACAGCTCTTGGCTTTGAGCAGTGTCGACTTATCGTTTCCCGTTACCACCAATCGTTCCTTTAATTCTGCATTATCATCACAAGGATCAACAATCTCTGAACTTGTTTGAGAGTCTTCCTTCTCGTCCTCTACGTTTGAAGTTACAGTTGACAACGTTACAGTGTTGACAGGCTCCGATTTCGTTTCTGCAACTGTTTTCAATCGTTGTCTAGGAACTGGTATTGGACTTTGACTCTCGTTCGATTTTGTTTTCTGATCGTTATTAGACTTATAAGAATGAAGATTAACAGTTGATTCTTCTTCTACTTTGCTCTGTGCCCTTTGCGGAGTAGTAATTTGAAAAGGAGTATCTTCTAATTTAGTATCAGAAAGTCTCTTTAAAACCTCCGAGGATATTCTAGAGTCAATTTTGTTCTCAATGCTTGGTTTAAGGGAATCTTCAGTCTTCATGTCTGATACTAAACCATCTTCATCTAACAAACCATCCAAGCTATTGGACCTTGGTCTCGCTTGTACTTCTGGCTCTTTAACAGGGGAGATTGATGTCTTCTCATCTTGATCTAGCAGTTCCAAAGAACGGGATCTCGTGGATGGAGAAGGGGGATGTCGTGGTGGCCTTCGTGGCACTGGACTCCCTCCGGGTTGGGTATGGGTAAACTTCAATCGCGGAGACGTAGGCGGAAAACGCATTAACCAACGGGACGGACTTGACGATTTTCTAAGCCTGTAATGTGAATGAAAACAATAGTAAGTCAAGTATTAAGTACTAATAAATGAGCACAATTATTTTAGTACTATCACGGATATAACGATCATGCAGACCCCAGTATTTTTTATTTTAAGGCGAAACGTTGACATTTATGAACATTGATTTGCCTTTAGATTAGACATATATTATTAATTCGTGCTAGAATGATTTTTTAAATTATTATTACACTATTACACTATTGTGTATCGTTAAAAAATCATTCTCAGATTAAATCAAGCCAACACGTCGTAGCTACATAAATAATAAATACTGAAATAAAGTCCAATAATAACATGAAATAAGCAGACAACATAGAGAACAATTTGATAGGATACCAATATAAACTGACACCAATTAAAACACAAATAGAAAATTAAATTTCCTCGACTGACCTAGACGTGATTGATTGTCTTTAGTGTGATTGTTAATCCCGGCTGCATAGAAATAAAAAAATCGTGTTAGAATTATTGCACCCCAAATTTTAGTAAGAGTCTGATTTTGTAAACGAATCTTATTTTCCCAAGACCAATAAATACCTGCTCAGTATGGCTGTGGGCGGGCCCTCTAGTCAATCTCGCCCCCCTGTTGAATCCTTATCACTACCTCTGCTTTCATTACTATGCATTCGCTGGTAGTTTGGTGGTTGTCGAATGTTTGTGTTACCAGGTGTGTTTGGCTGCGTCACATCTTTAGGCGCGATGGTTCTTGGCATATCTGTTCTGACTGGTATTTCACCTCGCATAAACCTGGGAACCAAAGTGTTTCAAATTTTTATTTTAAGAAAGATTTCATCAGAGAGTGAAGTTGAATATTGTACACACACAAGGAGAATAAAATAAAATTATTTATAGAAAGAAATAACAACATTTGGTATTTTCCCGAGTTTTAATAATCTATCATAAATCTTTATGTTTACCTTTCAACCTTGTCTACGCAGGCATCTTGGTAATCGTGGATCCATCGTACACCATTAAAATGACAAACTGCTCGCATATCTTCAGGAAGTTCTTCAGGTTCTGGCCACTGGAAGTTATCTATGATTGGAATTATATTACACTGTGACTGTAGAGCTGCTACAATCTCCTGCAAACATCATTAATATTATATAAGTAATTTTCTTAACACTATCTATTCTATTTTATAAAAACAGACTATGTCAAGAACGTACCCTATGGACCCAGTCTTTGCACTCATTGTCTCGTATACACCTTTCCAAAGCCTTGGGCGTTAGCACAAGGAGGAAGTGTTTCGCCTGTCTAATGCTTTGCAGTAAGTTATTGTCAAACTTGCCAGCTTCCAGCCTTTCGACATCGATAAATACAGAGAAGCCTCGCAATTGTAAATGGACCTTTAATAAGCTGGCCAACTGAGATCCATTTGACCTTCTATAGCTAACGAATACGTCTAACGATTTGTCTGGCGATTCATCTTCTGAAGAACCCAACTGATTGTGTTGCATATTTTTAATGGCGTCCAATATCCTTAACCGATGAATACTATTTGCGATGCCACACTCAGTTTGTAATTGGTCTTCAGATAGATTTCTGATAGAATCCTTGTCAACGCCAGCGTTGAGCATACTGTATGTGTAAATTGAAAATTCCTGACCAATAGACTGTAAGAAGCTATTCAAGTTTCCTGTATCTCTACTACTGTAATCAGCCATCTTCTTTAAATTTTGCAATTCTCTGGTGAATCGTCTTCGTCTGATGCCATTTGTTAAACCAATGTCTTCCTTGAGATTCTCCTCCGTCAGCTGCAACAATAGATCACCATCCACTCTACTTTCTACAAAATTCTGTGCACACTCCGCGAATCCAATTTGCTTCACCCACTCCCGGACGTCTTCCGTGGACCAAAGGGGTACCTGTTGGCTGAGTTTATGAGGAATCTCCTCTCCAATTAGACGCAACGCCTGCGCCGCGTATTTGGAGGCAATTGCATTAGGGCAACTAGCTACTTTCTTTAACGGCTCAATGGCTCCTATCGCTCGAAAGATCTCGGTATTGCCTTGCTGTTTCTTGATACCCGCCTCCATGCAGAAGTGAAAGGCTGCCAGGTTTCTAGCTTCCTCTCTTTTCGAGCTCAACACTGGTACCAGCCTCTCTAGCCAGTTCTTGCTCTGACCATGTGCATGTGCTAGATTCGACTTGGCGAATTCGTAGGGGTTATGCGAGGTGACGAATGGTTCAACTAGATCCAAGGTACCAGATTTCAATACCGCAGCTTCTATTTCCTTATTGGCTACTAATACAGCAATTGCTAAGCAGGCATAGTACTTAATGTTGTCGTCATTATGGAAAGCTAGGGGGAACAGCCACATGGGTACCTTCCTTCTGATCATAGCTTTTTGATTCTCTGCACCACCATATAGTGATAGATTGGCTAGGGCACCGGCACAGTGCCTTAACGTTTCAACGTCATTCTTCCTACATTCGAATAGGACGGCATCTAGACCACCCAGTCTGATCACATCGCTACAGGTTCCTTCGCTGTGTTTGAACAGATGTTCCAAGATTCCAGTACCTACTCTAAGAGTGGTCTACTGAGTTCGCATTCTTCGTGCACACACAGGCAACGTTCACTACCTTTTCTAGACCACGTTCCACCACGTGTGCCCTGTTTTCTGTAGTCAGACATTGTTCTAACAACCTGGCTAAGGAGAACCGTAGCTCGTGGTCGCTGGCTATACAGTTGGACAGTAATAGGTCAAGACCACCCCTCGTTCTGAGGGTGTTGCAGAGGATATAGCCCAGTTCGTGACCATGAGTGGGGACTGCCCATGCTTTCCTAATTATTTCGTTCACTCTGTTCAACAACAAAGGTGCTTTGCCATTTTTGCAATCGTTAGCCTTTAGACGTTTTACAAAACTGTCCGAAAAACTGGAGTATTTGACGATGGCTCGATCGACGTCCTGAGAATTTGATTTTGAACATAGAAGATCCAGATCGTCCAGGGGTAAGGAAAGGAGTTCGTCTTCGGCTGGCCTCATGCCGTTCATCAGCTGATTCACTGCATTCGCTGCGCTGATCGTCGACGATTTTGATGTGACTCTTTTGGACGCAATCGTGATACTTGACTGCGAACTGGCTGGAGAAATGTGTTTCTCGTGGTTGAAGATCCCAGTCGAAGTGACCGTTTGTCTTTGTTGTTGCGCTTTCTCGCTCCATGGCTTTCTGAAAGAGAAAACAGTAATTTTTTTTAGAATTTTTTAATTTCCTTCATTCAAGCAATAAAAAGATATTTCCATCGCGATGTTCCCTTTTCAAATCTCAAAGGGTCTACACTTCACTCTGTAACTACCAACAAAGGAAATACAAAAATTTTTCCAAATATTCCGTATACGCGAACAATTCTCTACTGTTCGGAGCGTCCAAGTTGCTCAGAACCAAATTACTAAGCGCAAAGAGCATCATCAATCTCAAGACCAGGAATTCTAGGTTGGCGCTGAACAGAATCGTAACTTGGCGTCACAGAGAATTATCACAGTTGTGTCACGTCCGCTCCCGGTATCTTCATTATTTCTGTATCACCACGTAACGCGTCAAGCACGATAGAACCGTGTCCTAATCCAAAATCGAATACAAATATCCCAAACTTTTCCACTGCTCTTTTTCTCCTATCATTGAACCAGTCTTCTACTCAACTTTACCGTCCACGTTAACCAAACAGTTCCATACGTGGATTCTCAAAGTCTGAACAGAGTCAACAAGAGAAAAAAATAGGATAATCTCTATACGTCACTAATTAAATGCTTTGCAACTCTTTCAATCTCTTTTGATCTATATATAGTCAACATGGCGCCACATGTGCCTTGACACTGTCTACCCAACAGACCTCGTTAAGAAACCCGTATCAGAACTCGAGGAGATCAACGAGATGACGACGTTGAGAAACGAAACACGCGATTTCGCCACATTCTTCCAACTCCAGTTCCTTCAAAATACTCCTCCTTCTCGATAAACGTATTGCGAATGGTGGGAAATCAGCGAGGCGAGAGGAAAAATTCGACGAGATGACGGGGACGATTGGAAACAATGGCTACCATTCTAGAGTCGAGGCTGCACTTCCGCAACATGGTGGTTCCCGCGGTCTTCCGGGACGCAGTGGCGGGCTACCGGCCGGGAAATCGAGGAAGACTGACCGTCGTCTGCGAGCTGATCACCGTTTAAATCCGTGGTTCCCACTTTTCACGGCGATCATGTTATATCGTGTATAAATTCTGCGAGGTGCGTCAGGTCGCGACCGTGGCCTACACGCGTGCCAAATAGGCGGTCAAATATATGGCTGTCAAACGGCACGGGACTCGTGTGCTTTTCGAATCCGTGCTTGGTGGCCGGCCAAATGCGAGGGATTTCAACTCGATGGTGGCCATCGAAAATTCCATCGTACCATTACATCTCCATCCACTCGAGATATCTCGCCTGTGTTTTTAGGTATCGCTGATCTTCCAGGAAAGTGGGATATTTGTTTCGCGCGATTTTTTTTTTGCGTACAGCTTTGATTTGTTCTATTTAATTGCTGAGTTTCGAAATTTTTATGAACGAGTTTTATTCTTTTTTCTTTTTTTGCGGATTTTTCTTACCTTTTCCGAACTGAAGGAATCGCTTTGGAGCTTCATCGTAGAGGCAGCCATGTTATTGCTCTCCTGATGCGACAGGTCGCCAGCTTTTAGGCTTCTCTGTTCCTGTAACAGACAGGAGAACAAGGTTTATTAATATTTTTACGAGTGCTAGATTCCTGGGTCGTATAACATCGTCTTTACGGATCTTTCAACGAGCTGTATAAAGATAACATTCTAAAAGTCTTTCAACAACGAAAAGAGCATTTAAAAATATACCCAAGATTTCCTATTATACTGCAAAAATGTCTCAAGGAGAAAAAGCGGAGTAGAAATAAATAATTCAAGAACAAGCAATTTCGAAATATTTTCTTGCTACGTGACGATACAAAAATAAGCAGAAAATACGTCGAGGTTCATGGTTCGACTGAAACAGTCGATTTACATCGATAATTTGCATTAATAATAAAAACAAAGTTAAATTACATAAATTAATATGGAAGTTAATGCTGACTGCAAATATAAATTATTTATTTTGAAACTTCGTGCTAGAGAAACGTTACATAAAAATGGAATAAACGACTGGTAAATATATTTTCGATTTTGCATGTCATTGCTTGAATTAAGTATCAATTAAACGATTCAAAATGGTAGTGCAGGAATTCGCAAGAGATCTATGCCTAAATATATTTCCAGGAAATTTAAAACGAAGTTTCGATAGGTTGAGTTATGATGGCAAATGTTTCACGTGAAACACCATTTTGATAGTGGGAATACGATGTTGAAATAGCTTAACAAAATTTCTCCAAACACAATTTCAATAATCTCCCAGCTATTCCGAAAAATCAAAACATCGATCGATCAAGCAGGGAGGAGACAGAAAGGAAAATTTTTCTGAAGTTTGCAAAATTTTGATAGAAAAGTTACGATACCGAAATAACGTTCCAAGAACCTCTCAAAAATATTCCAAAAATATTCCACGAAAATTGGAGGATTTGACAGACCTCCCAGACCTTGAAGATCCTTTTTAGAACCACCCGGAGAACGATTCTTATGAGGTACCCGTGTAGAAACGGTATGAAAAGAGGAATATTTAATGCGGTGCCGCGCGTTGCAGGGAATTAGCGCGCCATCGAAGGTCCACTTACGTCGAGTTGGCTAATAACGACGCTAATTCACAGACGAGCGACGATAGCATCGCGACGCGGTCCACAATTGTGCCACTGTGCTTCCAGTGGCAGATTTCCATCGTTCCTCCGCGATGGCAAGGCACGCGCGAACCCTTATTAATCGAGACACTTCTGCGATCTCGTTGCTACGAGACGATCCTTCTTTTGCGCAACCGCCATTGCGAAACCGTCTCGCTGTCGCGACTGGAGGCGTGATTAGATCTTACTTTGAAGGATTTCCTGATTTCAACTATCTGCTCTCCATTTTGATCCTAATTTCACGAAAATAGCGTGTCCCTTGTACACTGTGTATTTCTAATCGATCAAAACTCTGCCAAAATTGCTCCTCCATTGATCCTCCATCAGCGGAACCCAAGGAAATCAAGAAACCCTTGAGATGGAAGATAGAGATGGACGAAAATTTTCAGGAACTATCGATACCAACGCTCGTTATCTCTATGGATTATTCAATGACACTTTCAACGAGGAAAATTGACACATTACTGAACGGTGTCAATGTAAACCGTAGTCTTATCGTCCTCAACCGCCATAAAAGAGATCACCGATGATAAATCCTTCGTTTGCTACACGCCCATGAACAGTGAAGCACAGTCCCTGTGAAATGATAAGACGAGGAGGCAATCCCTCGATTTGACACTGACCACTGAGGTGTCAACTCACACCTCAGACTTGGTACCCCAATGAAATCGACCGAAAGAGAAACGAAACCGGGAAGAATACAGGGATCGTCGGATCGGCAAGCACAGTGCACAAGAAACGGAGACAATGTGGCGTGTACCGGCGAACAGAAGCGTCGAGGCGAGGAAGAGACGTCCAGCGAGGTTCGACGCGGAAAGCCTCGGGGACGAGCTTCCGCGACACAGTTCCATAACAGTCTGGCCCGTCGAAAGCTCATCGGCCGCGGCTCGACCTCTCCTCGCGCTCTGACGTATTTCTCTAAATATAATCCGAGCGTGTCGTCACGGGGCCGCGGTTCTCCGCGTTTCGTTCGTCCCTGCCACCTTGCGCGCCATCTCCATTCCCCACCGAACGCGCTTCCCCACGTGGCGAGATCGGCTTATCACCCCCCGGACGGACTTTAGAGCCCGATTCGACGGAGAAAATCGCCAACAACTGCGTCACTGCGCTTTTCAAGACTTTCGCCGCTAATTTCTGCGGATAATTATCGAACATCGCGACGTCGATGACATGCGATGGCGTGCGATGAGGTGCTATGGCGTGCTACGGCGTGCTATGGTGTCGTGATTTGGGGTAGAGATAGGGGATAGAGGTCTGAGAATAGTTGCTCCAGTATTTTTGCAATTTTGCAAACTGTATTTGTTATTATGCCTATTGACAGCCTGAGAATGAAATGAGTTACTCTGAAAAATTGGTTTCAATTTTGAAAGTAAAGCTTAGGTAATCCGTTTTGCGAAGCATTTTGCGATTATACCGGTGGATGTTGAGTCAAATATGGCCTGGACAAGGTAACCAAATTGAAGTATAATTAAATTTGTTTGAAACTGTCAAAAGAAGAAATTAAAAATTGCACTGTAGGGGAGAAATAATTCTAAATTATCGTGGACAGGGTAGTATCCTGAGGTTCGAGCTCTATTTCAGGTCTCGAGACGTGCGAATTTTTATTTCTGACCGATTTCTGACTCTCTACGTTGTTTTGACACTAGTAGTAGACTATTTCTAGAGAAAGAATGTTGGATATAGTTAATCGTGTACTTTGGAAACTGCGAAATTTTGTTAGACAGATTAGACAAATTCGGGTTGACACGAAGCAAAGTGCCTCAATGAGAAAATGGAGGACGCGGAGGATCGTAAGGTTCATACGCGATGATATTACTCGAACGTGGGGTCAGTACTATTGATAAGCAGCGAGGTATTAGGTCGATGAATTTATCTTTTAATTGACACATAGACTGGACTCGGATCGGCATAAGTTCCGAATAAATAAATAATTAACGCTGTACTCTATGACACCCGGTAGCATTATTTTGATATTTAAAAAATCCTTACTGTAATACGCAAAGCAGACCTGACTTCTTTCGAAAAATCTCAAGCAGACGAGTGGTCTCAAATAGCAACGAATAAATATCGAAACGCTAAATTCGAACCAGGACCGTTTTTGTTTTTACAATCCGAGAAAAGCTGCTGGCCAGAATTTCGGATCGTGCGTGTGTCCAAAAAATTTTCCCCTCATTTTTGTCTCCCTCTCTCTCTTTTTCTCTCTATAGTCGAATTCGTCGAAGTCGATTCGATTTCTCGTTTGAAAGTTGCGGGGCATGCGTCATATCGTTTGCAGAAACGCGAACTCGTCGAATTAGAATAGCACGCGCGTGTAAACAAATTCAGAAAATTTAAATGTACTCGTGGGCAATTCGCTCTGTGATATTTCGAAGATCGTTTTACGTCAGCGACACGCGACTTTCAACTAGCTTGGCCGGATGGAACTCGAGTGAAAATAAATACACTACTTGATCCTCAGAGGGAGATCCATCATCGTTGAATCATAGCGTTGAACGAGGATGAAACGCGGTTATTATGTTCGAAATTAAGTTGCAGGTTTAACAGTGAAAAGTGTGTGTTTGAATTTACGCCGATTTCATGAGGATCGACAGTGATGAATGTAAAAGACGAGTCTCGAGGCGAAGAATAAATGACTAATAATAGTTTGGACTGCTTTCGAAGAAAATATCGATACAAGTTTGCACGAGGATCTAAATGATTTCTCGATCCAAAAATTTTTTACCCGTTTTATGGATATTCGAAATGATATAATGGATAAAATTATTTTGGAAAGAGATGAACAAATTTTCCATCGATCTAAGACGTTTACTCGATTATCGATCACGTGCAAGATCTTCGTCGTTCTTAATCTTATCAAATGCGGAAAATCGAGCTTTACCGGAAGAATGTGCCAATCAGTGGTATTTCAATGAATTTTAAAGAAATAATTAGTAAAGTGATCAGTAAGTATCATTCGATCAAAGATTTATTTATTCCAGTATCGTGCCAATAAGTTAGGCACCTACTATGAATATCGATCCAACACCTGTGTTCCTTAATCATCAAACGATGAAAAATAATTTCTGGTTTATCTCAGTTGGAATCTGATTATTTGTTAAAATCCGTTCCCACGAAGTTAGCCTAAATCCATAAAATATTCCCTATTTCTTGCTTCTCAGATCCTTCCTTTCCATTATTAATTTGTTCAAAATCCTTATTTCTATTATCCAATTTATACTTTTCACTTTTTCATATTCACAATTTCTGATGACGATTGTTTAAATTCTTTTCTAAATTTTATCATTTTCTTCCTCCTTTTTGTACAAGCTTCGTTGCCTCCTCCATTAGTTTGACATTTAAAGTTAATTTCTCCGAGTTTCCAATTTTCACCATCGATTTTCTAAATTTTCCAAATACCCAGATTCCAAACCCAATAATAAACGCCAATTCGTAATAATTAAAAAATTTATAATAAAATAATTAGCGATAATAATCTGTATGCTTTAATCCAAAAGGAAAACGTAAAAATTACCATTATGATCCAGCACCATAAATTAGAAAAGCGACCAATCCGCCAATTTTCACCATCGATTTTCTAAATTTTCCAAATACCCAAATTCCAAATCCAATAATAAACGCCAATTCGTAATAATTAAAAAATTTATAATAAAATAATTAGCGATAATAATCTGTATGCTTTAATCCAAAAGGAAAACGTAAAAATTACCATTATGATCCAGCACCATAAATTAGAAAAGCGACCAATCCGCCAATTTTCACCATCGATTTTCTAAATTTTCCAAATACCCAAATTCCAAATCCAATAATAAACGCCAATTCGTAATAATTAAAAAATTTATAATAAAATAATTAGCGATAATAATCTGTATGCTTTAATCCAAAAGGAAAACGTAAAAATTACCATTATGATCCAGCACC